TGTATATTTTCATGAATTTTAAATATATTAATACATGCACGTGGAGTTTATTTGACCTGTACAGCCTTTCTGCTGAATTCCACGTATGTGTATTCTGTTTCTTCACTGTTCATTCAGCTCTGTGATTGAATAGTTCTAAAAGCACACTTCAGCCCTACTAGGGACTGTCAGATTGCTTTCCAGGGCGGCTGTAGCTTAACTGTCCCTCAGGACTTTGTGAGAGCTCTCACTTCCCCTCGTCCTCACCCAAACTGGATGATCTCAGACTTTTAAATTTTTGCCAACTGTTATTGTGTTTAGCATTGCTCATTTTAGATTTCAGTTCCCTAAAAATAAGTGAGGATAAACATCTTTTCATGAGTTTTTTAGTCATTTTAATTTCCTCTTCTAAAATCTCTTTTTCATATGCCTTTTAAATTGGGTTGATAGTCTTTTTCTTATACATTTCCAGGGTTTCTATTCTTTCTTTTTTTTTTTAGACAGAGTCTCACTATGTTGACCTGGGTAGAGTGCTGTGGCATCATGGCTCACAGCAACTCAAACTCCTGGGCTCAAGTCATCCTCTTGCCTCAACCTCTCAAGTAGCTGAGACTACAGGCACCCACCACAACGCCCAGCTATTTTTAGAGACAAGGGTCTTGCTCTTCCTCAGGTTGTTCTCAAACTCCTGAGGTCAAGCAGTCGACCTGTCCTCTCATCCTCCCAGAGTGCTAGGATTACAAGCATGAGCCACCACACCCGCCCTTAGGGTTTCTTTTGGGGGGGGGCAGTTTTTGTCTGGGGCTGGGTTGGAACCCACCACCTCCAGCATATGGGGCCAGCGCCCTACTCCTTGAACCACAGGCACTGCCCCTTAGGGTTTCTCTATATGTTCTGAGTGCTGCATTTGCTGGCTACATGAATTCTAAGTACCTTCTCCCAGGCTTGCTTACTCTTGGTACACTGTCTTTTAAATTGTAAAATAGGTAATGTCTGTTTCCTTTTATAGCTTATGCTTTAGGTTTCTTATTTTAAAATTTTTTCCAATCCCAATGCCAGAAAGATACACAGTTTGTGATTGGTATTTGTGTACTTATTTCATTGGAAGTTTATGTATAGTGTCGGGAAGGGGGGCCTATTTTGTCATCTTCCTTTTGTATAGTTAGGGTATGCTTTTACCCATGTCCTTATACTCAGGAGAATATTTCCAAGGTTTTGTTCTCTTGGTCTATTTAAGTAACCTTAGATGAAAATCACACTGCTGTAATTACTCAAACTTTATGGTTTGTCTTTAAATCTGAGTCTTTATACTCTTATGCCTCTTTAAATAAACTTGCTATTCTGGATCTTTTGTGTCTTTGTTTTTTAGCTCTTTTCATTGTGACATAAATGCATAACCATAACTGTCATGAAGCTGCACAAATCACTGTAAACACACCCATAAAACTACCACCTGGCCAGCCCCTTAGTCTACCACACCTCCCTCTCTCGCTAATTCCTCCTGGTACTACTGGTGGTCATCTTTGTGCTTTGTTTTATTATTTTACTGTTTGGCATATAGTTTAGATTTATCTATTCTTAGTAGTTGAATCATACTGTTTGCAATCTTTTCTGTCTAGCATAATGACTTTAAAATTTAAGCCTTAAGTATTCTGTATGAATTTGAGGATTAATGTTTCCGTTTCAGCAGAACACCTGTTAAGATTTTATTTCAAATTAGATTGAATTTGTATATTAATTTGATGAATTGATATCGTAACAATTTTGTATCTTCCTATTAATGGATATGTTGTCTGTAATTTTTGCTAGGGTTGGTTTTCTAAAAAATATCCCTTATTATACTTTTTTGGTTTCTCTTTCAAAGCCTTACGCATGTTTTCTTTCTTTCTTTCTCTCTTTTTTTTTTTTTGAGACAGAGCCTCAAGCTGTCCCCCTGGGTAGAGTGCTGTGGCATCAAAGCTCACAGCAACCTCCAACTCCTGGGCTCAAGCGAGTCTCTTGCCCCTGCCTCCCAAGTAGCTGAGACCACAAGTGCCCGCCACAACGCCCGGCTATTTTTTGGTTGCAGCCGTCATTGTTGTTTGGCAGGCCCGGGCTGGATTTGAACCCGCCACCTTAGGTGTATGTGGCTGGCGCCTTAGCCACTTGAGCCACAGGCGCCAAGCCCTTACGCATGTTTTAATTAGATTTATTCCCAAGTATCTTGCCATTTTTGTTGCTATTATCTGCTGTTACTTATTTGTTTTCCTTTCTAGACTCTGATTGCTCTTAATGATTTTTTTCTTTAGCTGTCAGTTTCATTTTAGTACTTTCTAGGGACTCTTGAATTTTCAATCTGAGGATTTATATTCTTTTATTAATTCTAGAAAATGCTCAGCTATTATCTCCAAATATCTCCTTTCCCCCATGTACCCTCTGTTGTCTTCTCTTTGACACCCCCCCCCCCCATAAGTCATACACTGACACCTGATCTGGTCAGAATCCCCCTGTGCAGAGCCTGGGCCTTCCCTCTTGCCTTCCCACCGCCCCCACCCCCCCACCCCACCCCCGCGCACACACACACAGACTCTTTGGCACATGCTCTGCAGAGCTTGGACCTGCTGGGAGTGGGAGGAATCAGTTCTTCTCACTCAGACTCCAGTAGCCTCCACTTCACTCCTCCCTGTGCTCTACCTGGTGCCTTTAATCCTTGAGCCTGAGTCCTGAGGACTCTGCAGAAATTTGAATTTATGCTGCTTAAAGCCTGAGTGATTTAGAATTACTCAATATGCTTTCCATTTTGTTAGTGTGATTCATGATTATAGATGCTTTCTCGTTTTACTGACTGTAGTTTTTTCTGTTTTCGTTTTCTTTGCTGTTTTGTACTGTTTTTGAGAGAAGGGGCACAATGATCATTTGAAACCAAAAGTCTCCCACTGTCCACTCTCAGCCTGCTGTTACAGTCTATCTTCTGCACCAAAACTGTGTCTGTAGATACCTTGTTCGTCAAGTGCCTCTGGATGCCATGTTCAGTGGTCAGTTCTCTCTACCTTACTTAGCTGTTAGTGGCATCAGACATAGCTGACCACGTCCACATTACAACTCTCTTCACTTCCATGGTACTAAACTCTCTGAGTTTTCCCGCTGCTCTCTGGCCCCTCCTTGTCTCCTCTATCCATCCACCAATTACTAGTGAACCACTGGGTTCAGTCTTAGTCCTGTTCTCTTGTCCATTACTCATCCTCCACCCCATATTACCTCATCTAGTCCCATTACCTTAAATACTGTGTAACAGGCATCCTAAACTACGGCCTGCAGGCCACATGCAGCCCGCCTAGGACATTTATCCAGCCCGCCGGGTGTTTTTGCCCCCGCTGCCTGTCCTGCTTAGCAGCCAACTCATCGCAGTCCAGCCCTTCACCTGTCTGAGGACAGTGAACTGGCCCCCTGTTTAAAAAGTTTGAGGACTCCTGCTGTATAATATCCAATGACTCCCAAATCGTTATCTCTGCCTTTTTCCTTGAGCTCCAGATTTAGACATCCAACCACCCACTCGTCGGTTCTCGACCAAAACGTCTAATAGATACTCCCAAGCTCATGACTGTGTGGCATGTGCATTTTTTCTGCTTGGGATGTTCTTCCCTCAGCTCTCACAGTCACTGGCACTCCATCATCCTTAAGATCTCCACTGAAGCATCCTTTTCTCTAAGGGCTCCCCTGACTGCCTGCCCTGGAGTAGGCTCCTTTCCCTCTCCAAGTCACTTTATTTCCTTCTCAGAACTTTGTTTTAGAAGTTGTCATACTTACTGACTGTGTTCTAAATTCACAGCCATAGCTTCTGTGAAAGTGTGCCTTGCTTTTCTCATCCCCTGATGTATTCTAAAGTGCCTAGAGCAGTGCCTGATGTGTATCAGAGTCTCAAGAAATCCTTGCCTAATTAATTAATTTAAATTTTTATAATAAAACATTGGCATGCACGTTTCACATATTAGATAGGAAGTTATCAAATCGTCTCCAATTTGGTATGAATGACTTTTTTTCCTAAGAATCAAATTCACATAATTACCAAATTTACATGATTAAAGATTTCTACAAATGAATAACCATAGTCATTTTTACCAAGAAAACTGTGGAGAGTCTTGAGACATCTCTTGCCATATAAATAACCTTAAAGGTGAAAAATAGATTGGTTTATAAATGGAAAAAAAAATTTTTTTTTTGAGACAGAGTTTCACTTTGTCGCTCTCGGTAGAGTGCCCCATGGTGTCACAGCTTACAGCAACTTCCAGCTCTTGCACTTAGGCAATTCTGTTGCCTCAGCTTCCCAAGTAGCTAGGACTACAGGTGCCAGCCACACGCCCAGCTATTTTTTTGTTGCAGTTTGGCTGGGGCCAGGTTCAAACCTGCCACCCTCGATATGTGGGGCTGGCACCCTACCCACTGAGCCACAGGTGCCGCCCTATAAATGGAATCGGTAATATTTCATTTGTAACTAGCTAGTGATGGTGAGGAATTTAAAAATACAAAGAAATCAATATTTGAAAAACTGGCTAAACACTATGTAAATAAAAACCAAGATTTTAGGGAGTCTTTATTTTGTGACAGATTTATTATGTGCTTGGGTCAGATTAAACAACAGTCATTTTTCTGCTGTTATCTCTCTCCAGTGGCCATCTGCCAATTAGGGTAACCACAGAGGTCGTACAGCGTGAAAGTGTTTTCATAAGCAGATCTTCTATGCGTTTTTGCAAGATGAAAACAGTGTTTTTAAAATATCTTACCAGCACTTTGACTGTTAAGAGATTAGTATTTTGCTAGCTCTTCTAATTCAATAAAAGAAAAAAATTGTATACCAAGAAAATTAAATTTTTCCTTGATTTGTACTGTTTAGTATTTTGTAATTTGGTGGAGATTTTGCTTATCTGACACTACTAGAACTTAAAAATAAATCTGAAATATTTTGTGACTATTGATTTTGTGTTAAATATATTCTTTAAAATGTTATTACATTTAAGCCATATTGCTGGACTTCTTTCTTTTAGATTTCTGGAATGTGCTATGATAGCAAAATGTTCCAAGTTCACCAAGTGCTCTGCATCCCCACCTGGATGGCAAAGTTCTTCTCTTGGACGCTGGAGCCTATCTTCTCCTCTTCAGAACCCACCAGTGAAGCCAGAATTGGGATGGGAGCCACCGTGGACATCCAGAGACAGCAGAGGATGGAGCTGCTCGACCGGCAGCTGATGTTTTCCCAGTTTGCACAAGGGAGGCCACAAAGACAGCCACAGGTAAAGGGGACAGTCACTGAAAATTTAAAAATACTCATTGGCCCAGGTAAACTTCTCCTCTCTGATTTCATGTGAGGTAGGGACTACACTTCATTCCTGTGCATTGCAATGTGGATGTTGACATGTTTCCAAATAGAATGCAAGTCTAGTGTCCGTTAGTGGCTTTTCTTAGTTTTTTTTTTTTTTTTAAGTTGAAAAAATAAATTGCAGCTGATTGGTCAAACTGGACATTCTTGTTCCACTTATATCAGGTAAGCATTATTTCTTAGAGAAACACCAACCTAGTTAACAAGATGTGCTATTTATCTGTTTTTATAATCTTGTAAAAGCCACAGTGTCTTCCTGTTAAAATGCTAATTATGTGCTGTGGAATGAAGAATGAATGTAAAACTTCCTGATTTTCCTTGGTTGAAATAAAGAAAATATGAAGGTTAGAAAATTTTTAAGAGAAGAGCCAGTGAGTGAACCAAATAAGTGCTGTGTCTTCTTAACCTTGTTATCAATAATCAGGAACTATTTCACATTTGTCTACAAATACTGGAGTAGCCAAACAAACTAATACTACACTTGTGTTTCAAGCGAGACAAGAGAAGGAGGGTTACTGTACATCAGGCTAAAACCCCTGACTCCGTCTTCTTGGATGCCTCTGTGATTCCGAACACTGGGCTCCTCCTTTCTTGTGTCCATCTTCTTTACTCTGTGGGGTAGTAGACATGGGACTATTCTGTCTTGCCATCTCTCTGTCTCCTGCCAGCACTGGGTGTGAGAGATAGGTGTCATGGTGGTTTAAAGTGGAATCCAGACAGAGGTCCTTAGTGTCCCATTAGAGATGCGGGTCCCACAGTTTATATTTTGGGTATGAGGAAGGGGATGGAGTCTATGAGAGAAAGAGAAGCAAAAGTTATTTCTTAAAGATGGGTTTGAATTTGTGGTGACTCCAAAACATACCATAAGATACCCAGGATATAGTCATTAAGGATAGAGGAAAGATATTTCTCTCAGAGAGGTGAAAGCTGGAGGTGTGGATGACATTGTCACCTCTGTGGACAAACTGGGAGAAGGGAACTAGGCGAGTTGTGTAGGACTACAGCTGATGTGCACGGAGACCACAGGTGAGGATGTGGACGCTACAAGGAAATCAAAGAGGAGTAGAAGGTGTGAGAACTCACAGTGAGCGGTGTTAGGAAACTGAGTACTGGTGAGTGAAAATATTTTCCAGGTAGAGTGGACAGAGCTTATGAGGGAGAAAGAGAAGAAGGGGATGATTCTGAGGTTTCTGGCTTCGATCATGGGATAGATGGGTGGTGTTCTATCTCACTAATTTCAGAGGAGCAGATTGGGGGAAACATGTTATCTGAGATGTGATGGGAATCCCTGAGAAGAGACTCCCCATTAGAGGGCTGGGCATCTGTGCTCATGAGCAAGCCAGAGAAGCTACGGTTCTCAGGTTGGCTTCCCCAGGAAGATTTTTCTGTGTGAAGTTTATTGGAGAACACTGGCAGCTTCAGTGTCGCTGGGGAAGGAAGCAAGACTGGACAGAGGGACAAGTTGAACTGCAGGCAGAACAAAAGCCCCAACTCCTGTGAGCACAGTGGAGCCACTAGTGCCCTTCTGAACTAGTGCCCTTCTGAACTGTCCCAAACTGCAGCAAGAGGTCTGAAGCTTTAGTTAAACCTCTCACAGCCAGCCATTGGTGGCAGGTGGCACAGCACCCCTAGCTAAAGACTGGGTTCTTCCACCCTGACGGAGTTGGGGGACCAGGCAACATTATGGCATCCACAGTCCAGCCCTGCACTGCTGAGGTCTTTCTGTTTTCCTTGTCTTAAGAGCACCTCCTCTGGGGTTCCAGTAGGACCCTCTGCCTTGAAGGGAGAAATCAAGAGGATGGTTGGGGGACAAAGTACACCCCTTCAGTGGAGGCTGGTCTCGGGACCACGCCTGTAGTCATCCTCTCCTTCCTCTGCTGTCTGCTCTGGAGTCCCCATCACCATCTACTAGAAGGCTCACTCAGTAAAGTGACGCAGACCATCATCTGTGTGGGGTCTCAGGCCCTGGTACCCAGGCCTTCTCAGGCTGTCTGCTGCATGTGTCCATTTACTATATCAACTGGGCAAGGGAGCAGCGTGAAATGGTCCAGTGGAGGTCCTGGGTGCCGTACACGTTCTTCCCTGCCTCTGGTTTGCCGGAAGCTCTATCTTTTCCTCATGGTCAGGGCTGATTACTGCTGCCAGGACCTGGTTCCACTTCTGGCCTGCAAGTCCTCTGGACCAAGAAGCCCACAATGACCAGGCAACAGCTGTTACTTAAAATGTATTGAGATTCTTGCAATGTCCCCACCTGTGAGCTGTGCCCTCATGGAACTTAGAGTTGCAGGGACAGGAAGCGGGAGATTACCAGAAGGGAAGGCAGTCAGGATCATTTATTTTTAAGACCCCTGCTCACTATGTCTCTGTGGGGACATAGCACACGTATAATGGTTGTTGACTTAGGCTTAAACTGTGTCCTGCAGCATTGAGGGCCACCCTTGCAGGATATTGTCTCCAGCTGATATTTCACCTGTACTGTCACCTGGCTGTGCACTAGGGTCTGGCAAGCTCCTGGGTCTTGTGGTATGTGTGAAGGTCCATGTGTCCTGTGGTCTTGCCACTACTGCTCCCACTTTGATGTAAGTGGGTCCTTTGATCTGATGTGAGGACCCCAGTCAATAAACCAAGCCACTGGTGGTGCTGGCTGGCAGAAGAGGCAGAGAGACCTATAACTGGAGTATGTCAATCCCAGTGAAGATGAATCCTGCCTGCCCTCATTTCCTAGAGTTGCTGTGACAAAGTGCCATGGCCTGGGTGGCCTAAACAACAGAAATGTATTTTGTCATGGTTTTGAAGGCTGGAGATGCAAGATGGAGGTGCCAGCAGGTTTGGTTTCTGGTGAGGCCTCTCTCCTTGCTTGCAGATGGCTGTCTTCTCCCTGTGTCCTCATGTGGCATTTCCTCTGCATGTATTCCTGGTACCTCTTCCTCCTGGAAGGACACCAGTCCTCTTGGATGAGTCCCACCCTTATGACCTCATTTAATGTTAATTTCCTCCTTAAAAGGCCTACCTTTAAGGATAGTCACATTATAGGATTAGGGCTTCAGTGTATGAATTTGGGTAGGTGGGGACCACACTGCCTTCCATAGCACTGCTCCTCCCACAGTTAAAAGTAGCTAGGTCAACTGGGGGAGGGTACCCCACATGTGGCCTCCATCCTGGCCACCATGGCTGTTCCATTCGTGTATCCGTGCTGGAGTGGGGGACAGTGGTGGAGTCACTGAGTCACCAGGTCCACCCTCTGGTGCCTGTTCTGTGGTGGATGTCCGGGGCAGGGGTCACCTGCAAACACTCGATGCCTGTTCCTGTCTGTATCCACTTGTCAACCCTTCAAGTCTCCTTGTCCCTTCCTTCCCAGTCCCTGACTGACCAGCCAAGTCAGAGGCCATGCCCAGGGAATCCATATATGTTATTGCCTCTGGCCACTTCTCTTTCCGCAGAGTTAATGGCCAAATGCATCACCCCACTATGCCCACTGAGGGTTTCCCTCATCACCAGCTTTTGGGGTCACACCTGAGGTAGAGCCATAGTATGGCCATGGTTCTTCAACTGTCACTTGTGTCCCAAGCTAGCCTGTCCACAAACCATATCTGACCATCTTCCCCTCTGTCTTGGTGGTGAGGAACCCACTCCATGTGGCAGTGGATATGAGCTGGAGAGACTGTGGTGCAGCAGACTCTAGCAGGGGTCTGGCGTGCCCATTGGCCCTGCTCATGCTGATCCCAGATGTCCATGTCCATCTGATCCCAGGTTTCTATTGGGTCCCCCTGGGTGATAGCTTGGTGGCTATCTGCTGCTGACTACAGGCCCACTTTATTGCCCATGGACGGGCACTCCTTGATTCAGCCTCAGTTTTGTGAAAATCTCTAATTCTCAGCTGTGTGTGCATGCCCTTGAAGATAGGTTCTTCTACCCTGACAGAGATGGTAGACCGGGCAGCATTATGGCATCCACATAACCCTTGCTCTGGGACTTTAGGGACCATGTTGTTATTCTCCTTTTGTGGCTTGCGGTAAACTCCCAGCTGTGTCTCTCCCCACCCCAGATACTGGGAGCACTACAGGCTCCACCAGGTTGCATAGTGAATGAAACAAACTCAAACCCCTGCCCTCCTACAACGTGTATTCCTGCCAGGCACTTGTGAAATGGTACAAGCCTTTGTTGGTGGCTGTCCCCACTGTTCACCAGACTCCTCTGGTTTCATAGGTTGGTCTTCCACCAACAGGTCTGAAGTCCAGAGCTGAAGCCTTTATGTTGAGAGGTGTTTTGGACAGCAGGGAGCATATTACTCATTCAGAAGCCCACTGAGTTCTCACAGTAACCAGACATTTATATCCCTACACCCGGCCAGCGTAACCTACTGCTGAACTTCCTCACTAGGCCATGTTCAGTCCTTTGTCTTTAGCTGTTACTCAGGTGGGCACAGGAAATCACCACCTGGAGAGCTCTGCCACCAAACCACCACTGAAGAAATTCTCTGCTGTGTGTGCATGCACAGGTGAGAACTATATGTGGGACAAGGGTGTTGGGACGTACACTAGGGCAAAGTTTATTTTCCCTTATTTTTCAGCAAGTAAATACTTAGTGCTTATGTGCTAGGAGTGGGGCTAGAGTGGAAAAGACAGCCCAGTCCTCTTCCTTACGGAGCTTAGATCCTGTCTCCTGCTGAGTTGCCATGTTTCACTCTCAGTAAGAAGACCACCATCATGCCTCATGCCTCTCTCATGTTAAGCACTTTACAAACACTCCTAGTGTCAGCCTTGAGAAGTGTGGGTTTTTCTTCGTGACCTCCGAGGATCAGAGGGGTACTTGCTTGTCCAGGGACATGCAGCTGCTTATGGGGACCTGGGCTTGGGACCCAGCTGTGTCTGACTCCAGGGCCTCTCTTCCTGATCCCCACATTGCTCCCCTCCC